AGCAGTTTAGTGAATTAACTCTGCTAGGAACACTGGCATTTTAAAAGTAGACTCCAAACCCTCAAATAACAAAGTCATTTTTAGAGGTGAATGAGGACGGCCAGAGGGGTTGGGGTCAAGGTTAAGAAATTCTTTCTAGAACGTCATCACTGCACTCAGGCATTCTGACAATTATGTTTTCCCGCTCCCCTCTCTATAAAGGAAAATGTATTTCTTAAACACACAGGATGAAGGAGTAACCTTTTTCAATTTTCTTTCCTAGATTATCTCCTCAAGTACAGAGCCCAGGAGTGACAGTGCTAAGAGGCAACTTTAGAATTTAAAGCTGTTCTAAAATCCTATCTGTCACTGAGGTGCAGGGGAAATTCTTAGAAACCAACCTTATATTTAAGAGTGTACACAGTAATCAGGCAACCTTTGGTTGTGGGTGTTGAGTATACACAGATCTGTTGCACTCCTACTCAGGGTATTTCCCTATTTCTCTCCCTACCCCGTATCTGCCTTCTCCTTATCTGTGACAAGCGGTGAAGGACTTCTCACCCCATGTTTATGCTAATCTGAACTCTTCCCAGAAGGTCAGATAATTTGTCTCGTACATCTTATCCACACATTATTCCCCCAGATGAGTCCATACCGTAAGATTTTTTTTTAAAGTGATACAGTTCAAATTAGCAATGAATTTCTTTTCTAAAATCAATGAGCTGAATAAAAACATTTCCTGAACAGATACTGAATCAAAACTGAACTAAACTGTTAGACATCTAGTGTATGATCTAGTGTAATCCTGACACTAAGCTTTAACATCTCCATGATCATGGATTCGAGCTGCACGGACTGATGATGTCATTTCTTTCCTTTGTATCTGAGAAATCTCAATAGAGAAGAGAAATTCACTGAACTCAGTCCTCCAAAAGATTTTCAAGGTATAGCTGGAGGCTCAGCGATGACTCTGAGAGAGCCCAGATGTTAAACTCAGAGACCGGGAGATAATGCAGCCCCCAGCTCCCCCCATTTACCAGGGAAATCGGTGGGAAGAGACGTTCGTCCCAACTAGAAGCACTAGCTTGAGACCTTCATTGCTTTCCACTGCCCCATCCTTCAAGTCCCCACTGGAGCCCTGCAGCTCCGCACTGCCCCAAGCAGAGCGGTTTGGTTCACCAGTTTACTGTGCAGAAGAGGCCTGGAGAGGGGGGCAGTCCCAGCCCTCACACACGGACACCTCTTTCCACCTCACTCTCTTTTCCAATCTCTCAAGCACTGCTTGGGAGAAGCCTTCTGTTTGACACATTCAGTTCAAGCCCCTCACTCTTATGAAGAGAAGACACTTCACGATAATACGTATTGGTTACAATTCATATGAAGAAATTAGAGTTATTATTCGGATGGTGTATAGTTAATTATATGCTTTTCCAATTGCTTCCTACTAGTAAATGGGTGGGTTGTTAGGTGGCGTGTGATGATTTCAAGCCACTAAAACACTGTTTTTTGAGTCTTCCTTGTTGAAAGAGACCCAATATTAATGACAAGCCCAGTCACCAGTTAGTCTTTTAGGTTCCAACACTAAACTGTCTTCTGATCTGATGAATCATAGGCCTCATAAAACAAACCTGCTTCTGAGTAACATACATTAAGTATTTTACAGGTATGCCATCAAAATATGCAAGGAACAGAGCTTTATCAAACAAGAGCACAATCTGTGCCTTCCAGACGCCTCAGATGTACAATATTAACATAAGGGGCCCTACCCAGGGCTCACAAAGTTGGAATAAAAGTAACTAACTGGACCGATGTTTGTCCAAAGTTATCTGCCAACAAGAAATACACCATGTCCATGAAGTTCGTGTGCAAACTGCTACCTATCTATTGAAAGTTCTCAGACACAAAAGGAAAGAAATGACTGTCAATCCATGCAACTTGAATCCATTAAAATCAAGATTTTAAACCTCGGTGTGCCATCTGCACACAAACTTTATGGACACCTTGTATAATTTTAAATTCAGTAATAATGAAATATTCCCAGAAATAGTTTATAAATGGATCAAGTAAGAAGCATTTTCTTCGCTCTGAACAATATTCTCAAAATTAGTACTAGTGTGAACTATTAACTACTTATAAAACGAATTAGTAATGATATAGATATCCATGAAGGTTCTCTTTAGATTATCAGCTCAATTATATTCAGGGCCAAGGTCATATCATTTAAGATACACTGGCTCGCCAATAAAGTCTTCAAATCATACCACAAAGAGCAAGAATAATAACTGCCGTACTTTTCCCCATTTCACAGATGAGAAAATTGAGAGTTAGAAAGGGTAAGTGAATTGCCCCAGCAAATAGTTAAAATTGTAAATATTCATAATACGAATTATATGCTCAGTACTTTAATATGGATGTGCATTTACTGTTGAAGAGAAATATTAAGAATAAATATCCTGTTTTTTAAATAGTAACTTATGTATATGGTGACACTTGTCACCTTAACATCAACGAGAGTTTTCCCCAAAATATGGCCTATCGTATTTGAGCAGATTTCCCTCCAAGAACCTTCTTAAGTGTTTTAGATAAATAAAAATTAAAACATCCCACTTTTATTTAAATAAAAGCTTTAAAAAATACACTGTGTAACTCTTTACAATCTACCACTTTATGGCGAGAAAATACAAATAGTAAATAAGAAAGCCCAGGAAGATCTCAACCTTAAATTTAAATTTTTTATCTACCATGCTACAAAACTAACCGAAGTAGGACACGCGAGGGCCATCTCTGCCTGCAAGATGGTTATTCACAGATCTTACTATTCTTTGGTGGAATCAAATTAGATCAGTTTCAAATTGCTTTGTAAGCAATTAAAAATCACCGTCTTTCTTGTGGCTTTTAGGCATTAAGAGAGAAAGAAATAGCTAATATAGAGATTTAATAAGAAAAATAAGAAAAGTACGTCAGAAATTCAGTTTGACAATTTGGGGCTGGGGCACGTATGTCTGTGCGTACAGACCAGTGACTTAAATCAAGTTTTCTTGATGAGTGATTTTTCGAAAATCCTCTACAGACATATAATGAGTAGAATACCAGGAGACCAAAACCATTTTCCAGTACATTTGCCACACCTAATGACACATATTATATTTCCAAGTTCAAGTGACAGTGAATTCAGCAGAAAGACACCCACACACTAGATTATCATTTTCTGTCCTATGCACTGGGTATATAGAGATGCTGTGAAAGTACCGCCCAGAACGTGTTAAACATTAAGAAAATATCATTTGAACGCATTTTTCCTACTTCACGAAGGTCCCCTGTTATTAACAACTATTTCAGAATTTGAAAACTAAATTAAAAATACCATTCATACTAGTATGTGTTTTCACAGCAGTGCCTTTTACACAACTTCCACACACATAATCATCTTGATAATTTACGTTAGTGGTAAACGTCCTTATTTTGAGAGAATTACAGAAGAGAAAAAATACGTATTTCTATTCATACAACTTACTGATAAAAAACAATTAGTTGTGACTAGTAATCCATTTCTAACTCATATACCTGAAGTCATACTTTTCCTCCTGTATAAATTTTAATGTCGTAGGAATGTTGAGACTAATATTGTGATTTTTAAAAAATTTAATCTAGAATTTTTTCAAAAGCAGTTCTGAAATAAACATAAGGAAACTAGTCCCTTCAAAGAAAATATTGTATTTCATTATTATAAACAGCAATCGTGAAAATATATTCAAGGTTCTCTTAAGCTCAATAAAGAATGTGATGCTGGTGGACATTTTAGATTTAATTACAAAAATAAATTGTATATTTTTAAATGTAAAAGAATGAGAAAACAGTGTCTAAAAAGTGTGCAGCCTAGAACTCTCCGAAATTTCATACTTGATTGATGCCATGGTTTTGTAGCAGATACTGTAAGAACTAAAATTTTTAAGTATGAAAAAGAGTTTTTGATTTAAAAATAAAAAGAGTTGTCAGTATTTTTTTTTCCTTCCAGTGGGTTACAACAGATTGAAATGGCTACCAGTTGATCCTAAGATCTTTTAATTTGAGATATAATTATCAGCCAGTTAAATATCAAATATCATATGATTTATTAAGGGAGAAAAATGGTGTAAATACACAATGAGATAAAAATGGATGGTTTTGTAACACGCTTTGCCTTTGTGCCTAACGACAGCAGCTTTAAAGTTTTGTGTTATTAAAATGAATCCTATGGTGGCCACAGCGAATCTGATTGAAAATAAAGTACACAAAAATGACCTTAAAACTTGAATGCAATCTTTTGAAATATTGCTCCAAATGCTAATGGTGGCATCTGTGAGTTTTTCTGTCAAACTTTAAGAGCAGAAGGTTTTTCTTTAAGAGAGAAGCCACAGTGAAGAGCTATCTCAGTTTATAGACGGAAATGTTTTCTAAATCAGGTAGTACCATCCCTTGGTTCTGCCTTCAGACAGCGATGGATCACCTAGCTATAGACAGGAAGATTGCCATAGAACACCTGAGCTCTGTGGAAGATTTGCCTGGGTCCTTTTAAAGAGTGAATTATTCCCTGTTCTCTTCATAACTCCAGTTAACAATCGGTTTCAGGAATGATAATAAGAGTTGATGGCGTTAAATCAATGCACACCAAAATCAAGAGTTTCCCCAGAAAACAGGTATTGTACAACTCCGTTCATCATTTTGTCTGGTTTTCTATTCAAATGATAATTTTACAGAAATTCTCTTCCTTCCCTAATCTTGAAAGGAATGGTTTCAACTAAAGAAACCCCTTTAGTTTCTTCAGGACGGATGACTATTTTTTAACTTTCTTTCTCCTTAAAATAATTAACACTATTCTTCCACTGTGAGGCTCAGACCCAAGTGAGTAATTAGATTCTTGATGTCAAACCAGAGCAGCACACAATAATAATGATCTAAGAATAACAGGATAATAATCTGGCACATTTCGGATATATCACCAACACAGTTCAACAAAATGCAATTCGAGTGAACTGACTCACCTAAGGAACGGGAGTTAACAAGAAGAACTTAGAAATGCAGCCTCCTGATCACCAGCAGAGGTAAAGGCCCCTTCTTTTACCTACCAACGGCCTTATATAAAAGCAGCAGTTTGGTTACTCCCAGTTTCTGCCTCCTTACCTTAGGCTCCTCCCCAAATACCCAGGCATAAAGTACCACTGCTACACACCCCCTTCCACCCCCAAGCCCGGGCGCTGGGAACTTTCTGCTAACCTGCTCGCTCTGCCTGGCTCAGACCACAGAGTGCTGCGCGCCCGGCCTAGTCGGCGTCCTAACACCTGGGCGCGAGGCGTGGGGGTCGGGGCTGCCCTCTCCATCCCGGGAACCCTGCCCCTGACTCGGCCCCTCGCTGGCTCGGGGACAGCACAGCGTTTAAGAGCACCAATGCTGGTGGCCCTGAGTGCGCCCCTCGCTGAACTGTCACCAAGAAGCACACACAGCGCTGTCCTCTCGGATTCTGAGACCCAGCGAGACCTCCTTGGTAGGGAGACCTCGAGGGCGCAGGATCTGCGCTTATCCTTGGCCCGGACGCCCTGCCCCGAAGTTTCCCTAGAGCAACTCCTGACTCGGGCGCAGCGGTGGAGGTCCCGGTCCGCTCCGGTCCCCACCCACCTAGCGCTCACACGAGGGGGCCTATCCTGGGAGCCCCGACTCGCGGGCTCGCGTCTGCTGGTGCTGAGACCGTCCGCGGTTCTTCGCGGGCTGCCCGTGCTCTCCACCGCAGGGCTGCTCGACGGAGAGAGGGACCCTCGGCCCGGGTCCCCTCATTCCGGGACCCCCTGGCCTGTCACCCGCACGACCTGCCGGTCCCAGCCCTCTGGGACACGACTCCCTGGTCCCCTTCCCCTCTG